CCAGCCCTGAGTGGAGCCGTCGGCTGGGCTGCCTGTCCCCTTCGGCAGGGTTTTGTCATGTGGGACTGGAATCAGCAGCCCCCCCACAGCCTAGGGCCCCTCGCTCTTCCCAGCCCCCGGCCAGGTTAACATGGCCTGCAGGAGGGAGCTGGGTGAGCGGGACCCCACTCGAGCAGGGAGCCGGGGCCAGGAGAGAGGGGCTGAGCCTCCCACCCTGCCGGGAGCCCGCCGGCCACCGGGAACAACGCGCCCAGTCACTGCGCTCGGCGCACCCGCTCCCACCAGGGCACCAGAGCGGCTGTTCGTTCCACATCTGCTCCTGATCTGTTCTGGGGAGCGCCCCGGGGCAGCCCGGCACCAAGCCCCAGGCCCGCTCCCCGTAAGGGGCTAGTCCTCGCTACCATGCGCATTGTGAAACTGACCCATTTCTCCTCCTCCCGTCAGCACCCTCCAGTCGCGGGAGAACCCCACACGCGTCGGGCGGCGCCGTCCGACAGCCGATAAGGCCAGACCTCCCCCGACTGCGGGGCCGGCTGGCGTTTCCTTAGCACCTTCCCTGCCCAGAGACAAGGCCGGCGCAGCGATTCCAGCAAGATTGCAGCAGGCGGACAGGCTGCCTGGAATTTTAATTCGGTCGGTGGATTTTCACCACTGACTCAACCGGCCGTTTGCAGAGGACACGTGCACGGCCCCCCATGTGCACACTCCTCACCGCACACAAGCACAGCAACTGTGAGGGACCCCTCCCCCGACGTCTGGTGGCTCCCGGACAGGCCAAGGCCCAGGGATTGTGCCCCCGGCTGTGAGAATTACACGCCCCAAAGGGCTTGTGTGTTTGCAAACGCAACTCGCAAGAAGGAGTTTGGCATTTTAACAGGCCGCAGCAGACGGAGGCCCAGGTCCGTCTTCAGCTCAGCCCAGAGCCTGCTAACCGCCCAGGACAGCCGGCCCTGCAGGCAGGGGGGTGGACTGGGAACCCCATTTGCCATGTTGCCCACTCGTGTGATTATCATCCCAAGTCCCGCAACGTTTGGTTTTTTCCTTCAAGCGGCTGCTCTGGGAGTTCTGGCGCTGCACAGCAGAGTGGGCGACACGACCCTACACAGGTACCCTCCAAAGACAGGAACCCGACTGCGTCCTTCCCGGAAATCCGGATCTGTAACTCAAGGTCAGTGTTTTCAGGTCCCCACTCAGGATTTCAGGGGCCTGAACTCTACTCCTGGCTCTTCACACGCGCTCAGTGTCCTTGCCCACGGCCCTGCATGGTTGTGCCTCAGTTCCCCCATCCGCAACAGGCCCTGGTGCACACGCAGGCCAGCTCCATTGGCACACAAGAGGCAACAGGCCTGATGAAGATCACCACCCAACAGCCAAGTGTCCTGCCCTGCCGGGCGCCTCGGGAAGCCGTCGCCACCGCCTGGAAACGCTTACGGCAGGCGGAGACAGGCCGCTTGGGTGGGGCCTGGCGCTAGCAGTAACCGCACACACGGCCTCGCCCCGCGCGGTTCCGCGTTAGCCAGCTGCCGGGCGAGGCAGCCTCTGTGTTCGCAGGGACACAATGGCCTGAGCTCTGCGCAAGGTGCCAGCTGCGATCACATTGCTCTGCTGGCAAACAAAGGACTGAAACCCAATCGAGGGGCTGGAGGAAAAGCAACAGTTCGTGGGTGTGCTGAGCGCCAACGGCTTTCGCCACATACAGCCAGCTGCTTCCTACGGAACAGCTGCCCCACTGCAACCGGTCCCGCCTGCGGGGCGGAGCGACACGCGGCCGGCCACAAGACCAAGGCCCTCTGCGCTGCAGTTAAAGGTGCCACGGCTACGTGGCCACCGCCCCGGGGCTCTCCCCCAGCGCTCTAGGTAAACCCCCTCCACGGGGGAGCAGCTAACGGTGCTGGGACCCAGTTCATGCTGGCACTTTACAGCCCTGGCCTTGCTGTGCTCCAGGCGGGGTGTGTTTTCACACCCCTGAGCAAGACCGTTCCTGCTCTCCAGGCGGGGTGTGTTTCCACACCCCTGAGCAAGACCGTTCCTGCTCCTCAGGCAGGGTGTGTTTTTCCACACCCCTGAGCGAGCAAAGCAGCAGGGCAAACTAGTCCTGTACTTCCCCAGCCCCCCAGGGCAGGGGCACGCTGCCTGGATGGAGCAGCACTGATGGGACACACCCGCTCCAGGAATAAGCAGCCACTCCCGGTCGGCAGGGCTCTTTGCCAGCCCGGCGTTCTCCCAGGCCTTGCAGCCGAACGGAAGTGGTGAGCGTGGGCCACGCACACGAGGAAATGGCCGTGCTCGGGCCCTGTGGCACTGCACATCCTGCCGGCGCGGGGAAGGGGCGCGTTTCCAGAGCCGGCCGAAAGAACCCAGCCCAAGGGACTGCACGTAAGGCAAGTCGCAGGGCAGAACTCGGAGGGAAATGGATTAGCCAAGAAGTTCTTGGACTGCATTGAAGACAACTTTTTAGTTCAGAAGGTTGAGAAAGCTACTCGGGGGAAGCTGTTCTAGATTGGATTTTAACAAATAGGGAGGAGCTGGTTGAGAATTTGAAAGTGGAAGGCAGCTTGAGTGGAAGCGATCATGAGCGTTCATGATTCTAAGGAACGGTGGAAGCGAGAACAGCAAAATAGAGACAATGGATTTCAGGAAGGCAGATTTTGGTAAGCTCAGAGAGCTGGTAGGTAAGGTCCCATGGGAAGCAAGACTGAGGAGAAAAACAACTGAAGAGAGTTGGCAGTTTTTCAAAGGGACATTACTAAGGGCTCAAAAGCAAGCTATCCCACTGCGTTGGAAAGATAGAAAATATGGCAAGAGACCGCCTTGGCTTAACCACGAGATCGTGCATGATCTAAAAATAAAAAAGGAGTCATGTAAAAATGGAAAGTAGGACAAATTACAAAGGATGAATACAAGCAAACAATACGGGAATGCACGGGCATTAAAAGGCAAAGGCACAACATGAGATCAAACTAGCTAGAGGCATAAAGGGAAACAAGAAGACATTCTATAAATACATTAAAAGCAAGAGGAAGACCAAGGACAGGGTAGGCCCACTGCTTAGTGAGGAGGGAGAAGCAGTAACAGGAAACTTGGAAATGGCGGAGGTGCTCAATGACTTCTTTGTTTCAGTCTGCACGAGAAGTCTGATGAAGAAATTCCGAACAGTGAATGCTAGTGGGAAGGGGGTAGGTTTAGAAGATAAAATAAAAAAATAAGTTAAAAATCACCTAGAAAAGTTAGATGTCTGCAAGTCACCAGGTCCTGATTAAATGCATCCTAGAATACTCCAGGAGCTGATAGAGGTGGTATCTGAGCCTTTAACTATCATCTTTGGAAAATCATGGAAGACAGGAGAGATTCCAGAAGACTGGAAAAGGGCAACTCTAGCGCCCATCTATAAAAAGGGGAATAAGAACAACCCAAGAAACTACAGACCAGTCAGTTTAACTTCTATGCCAGGAAAGATAATGGAGCAAGTAATTAAGGCAATCATCTGCAAACACCTGGAAGATAAGGTGATAGGGAACAGCCAGCATAGATTTGTAAAGAATAAATCATGTGAAACCAATCTGATAGCTTTCTTTAATAGGATAACGAGTCTTGTGGATAAGGGAGAAGCGGTGGACGTGGTATACCTAGACTTTAGTAAGGCGTTTGATACAGTTTCGCATGATCTTCTTATCAATAAACTAGGCAAATACAACTTAGATAGGGCTACTATAAGGCAGGTGCTTAACTGACTAGATAACCGGATAACCGTTCTCAGAGAGTAGTTATTAATGGTTCACAATTATGCTAGAAGGGCACAACAAGAGAGGTTCCGCAGGGGTCTGTTTTGGGACTCGTTCTGTTCAATATCTTCAACGATTTAGATATCGGCATAGAGAGTACGCTTATTAAGTTTGCAGATGATCCCAAGCTGGGAGGGGTTGCAACTGCTTTGGAGGATAGGGACATAATTCAAAGTGATCTGGACAAATTGGAGAAATGGTCTGAGGTAAACAGGATGAAGTTTAATAAGGAGAAATGCAAAGTGCTCCCCTTAGGAAGGAACAATCTGACTCACAAACAGAACAGGAAGCGACTGTCTAGGAAGGAGTACAGCAGAAAAGGATCTAGGGGCTATAGTGGATCACAAGCTAAATATGAGTCAACAGTGTGACACTGTTGCAAAAAAAGCAAACATCATTCTAGGATACATTAACAGGAGTGTTGTGAGCAAGACACGAGAAGTCGTTCTTCCGCTCTACTCTGCGCTGGTTAGGCCTCAGCTGGAGTATTGTGTCCAGTTCTGGGCACCACATTTCAAGAAAGATTTGGAGACGGTCTAGAGTAGAGCAACAAGAATGATGAAAGGTCTAGAGAACATGACCTGTGAGGGGAGACCGAGAGAACTGGGCTTGTTCAGTTTGACAAGGAGAAGACAGAGGGGACATGAGAGTGGTTTTTAGGTATCTAAAAGGGTGTCACAAAGAGGAGGGAGACAAATTGTTCTCCTTGGCCTCTGGGGACAGAACAAGAAGCAAGGGGCTTAAACTGCAGCCAGGGAGGTTTAGATTGGACATTAGGAAAAATTCCTACCTGTCAGGGTGGTCAAACACTGGAATAAATTGTCCAGGGAGGTTGGGGAATCCCCATCTCTGGAGATATTTAAGAGCAGGTTAGATAAATGTCTATCAGGGGTGGTCTAGACAGTACTGGGTCCTGCCATGAGGGCAGGGGACCGGACTCGATGACTCTCAAGGTACCTTCCAGTCCTAGTGTTGTATGATTCAGAGCCATCGCTCAGCCCAAGAGCCATGGCTCCGTCGTGCCTTAGGCGAGGAGAGCCGGGATCTTGCGTGGCTGTTCCCAGCCGCTCTCCTCTCCACCCACAAACCCCTCCCCGAGGCCAGTGGCACTTTCACCCAGGAGTAGCTGGCTGGAGGGAGGGGGTTAGAAATCGGGGGCTGCTTTCACACAGGCTGGCAATTCACCCTCTTTGCAGCGAGGACGCAGGCTCAACAGCCCCAGTCGGGATGTCAAATCCCATCTAATTCACCAGTTCAACTTTATATGTAACCGGTTCCCTAATTCAGCGGGGTGGGCGGGGGAGCAGCCCTGGGCAGGGGGGAGCCCGTCTCCAGACAACCCCCCGGTTCAGTCTCCTTGGTGTTCAAGTCATACAAACCGCCCCAGAAGCGCCGAGCAGCCTGTTCGGTGCCGGGGCCACGCGCAGCACAAGGGGCCACGTGAACCTTTGACTAAGCCCCCCCCCCCAGTAGATTATGGTTCAGCCTGTCGTCCACACAGCCCCCAGAGCTCCCCCTCCGGCATTCGCTCAGGACCGGCTCATTCTTGCTTCCTCCCCTCCTCCGCCCTGTCCAACCCTGAACCCCCTGCCATGTCATTACTACCCAGAGAACCCGGGGCTTGTCTCTGTGCCGCTCAGTTATTCCAGGTGGCTCCCCGGCCGCCCTTGCCCTTGCGAATGATTGCTTGCGCTCATCTGAACCACCTCGCGTGTCCAGCCAGGCCCCACGTCCTCCAGGAGCCGCGGCCACTGCCAAGCAGGGCAGACATACAGGTGCTGGGGACAGGATGCTGCAGGTGGGAAGCAGCAGGAGGCCAAAGATTAAACACCCACAAGCAACCTTCCTGCTCATTTTTTAGATCCATGTGCAGAATACATTTTGTTATGTGCACCGAGGGATGTAAGGTGTGCACCACCACGAGACCCACAGGCTGCGGCTGGGGGCACGCTGCTGATCAGCTGGGCAGTATTTGAATCTCTCCTGGGCAACCGCCCCCAGGGAACACTGCCCATGAGACGCACCCTACTAAGGATGGAGCGGCCGCATGAGCCGCCCGGGTCACGAGTGACGCTGTCCCACGTGCCAGGGATCTGCTCCTTCCCCAGGGGTGTCAGAAGTCGCACTAACAAGTGGGCCTCCCCCTCCACGTGGAATGGGCTGAGCCACGCGGGGGAGAAGCTCTAGATAAGCGCGAGGGACTGCGACGGCGGAGCAGCGACCTACATAACGCTGGGATGCATTCTGCAGGTTTCCAAAACTGACAGTGCGGTGAAAGACGTTGTCGGTGCTCGACCGCTGATAGGTCTAGCCAGGAGCTACGGGGCGTCCCGGCACCTCGGTCCAGCCCTGGCCTTTGCCTGGGTCACAGAGCAGCAGCGAGGCCTTGTCTATATGACAAAACGCAACTGTTGTAGCCAGGCCAGAGAGACACATCCTCACAGCAGGGCCAGTACCATAAGGCCACCGAGGCATTTCGTCCAGACTAGAGATCTCTCTCCGGGAGACCCACGAGGCTGCCGCCGAGACACACAGCCCGGGAGATTGCCCGCTCCCTCCCGACACCATCCCCAGGAGGCCCACAAGCCACCGACAGACCGAGGGACACGCTCCACCCACGTGCCTATGTGCCTCACCACCACAGACTGGGACCCAGCCCTCTGTGGGTGGAGTCCGCAGGAACACCCCTCGCCAACACGCCACAAAACCCAACACACGAAGCCACGCGTCACACTAGCCACAGCAACCAACGCTTGCAACCTCCCATAGCCCAGGCTGGACCTGGCTAATCCCGCTGTGCCTTCCGATCCCACGTGCACCCTGCCCCCGTCTGGAAACACCCGAGGCCTGCGGATTTGAAGGCACGTTGCTGCGCCACTCGCAAAGCTGAGCGGCGAGGAAGCCGCTGACCAGAACCGAGAGGCCCCTTGGAGCCTGCTCCCCCCGGGCCCTCCGGGGAAGGGCTAATCCTGCAAAGTCCAGACACAAGTAACTCGGGGAACGTGGGGCTAGACAGGCGCTTGGGACGCCCTCTCCTCCAGCTCCCTGGACTGAAACCGGACTGAGCAACCCAAGGCAGTCCCGTGCAGGCGTCTGGCCGGCCTGCTCTTCAAGTTACCGCCAAGCCAGCTCCGGCGCCCGGAGCTCTAGCTGAACCAGGCATGTCGAGGGTTCCCCGTTCCCCAGAGGCATTCTCCTGACTGGCATGTGGCCCAGGGCGGCCTGGCTGAGCAGCCCCGGATGCCGGGGAACTGGGAAACTTTCACTTGACCCTGGGGACTTGACACACAGGATTTGACAGCCCTAGTTTAACCGAGAGGTTTGCTGTGTGGTTCGAAGGAGCCTGCCCTGCCCCAGGAGAGCAGCGGACGCCCAGCAGCCGACCTCACCCCCTCGGCTCTCCCGAGAACTGATCATGTCAATTGGCTGAGCAGCCCCGGATGCCGGGGAACTGGGAAACTTTCACTTGACCCTGGGGACTTGACACACAGGATTTGACAGCCCTAGTTTAACCGAGAGGTTTGCTGTGTGGTTCGAAGGAGCCTGCCCTGCCCCAGGAGAGCAGCGGACGCCCAGCAGCCGACCTCACCCCCTCGGCTCTCCCGAGAACTGATCATGTCAATTACCTGGACGCGCTTGGCCGGCCCCGGCCGGAGAGCCAGAGAGCTACTGACCCGGCCAAGAGGCGGGGCCGGGCTCGGGGCGCACTGTGTGGGGAGAGCAGCTGACAGGAGTCACACGCCAGCACTTGTGCTCAAGAGGGGAGCTGGCTGCACACTAACAGGACGCCCTTTGTGAGGGGAGCAGCTGCGCGCAGGCTGGCAGCCCACACGCCCGGCACCGGACGGCATCCAGGACGGGATCCTTCCAGCCGGCTGCCTTCCACGCCAGTGCTCGCCGGACATACGTCCCAGGGCGGTGGGATCAGGCCCCCCGAGCGCAGCGGCCGGCCCGCACCCTGACACAGACACATGCAAACCCACAGACTCCGTTCCAGCGGGACGCGGCCCCGGAGCCGGGCTCGTGGCTCCGATGGGTGCAGTTCTGGGGCGGCTCGAGGGCCCTTGCTCAGAGCAGCAGCAGGATAGAGGGCTACGCTCGTGCCATGGAACCTCACCCCGAGGAAATGGCTCCTTCTAGAGGCCAATCCCTTTCCGGGCCGCAGAGCAGGCACCGGCCAGGTCCGGCGCCGCCTCTGTCCGGAGAGGGGCCAGCCGGCTCAGGAGTGGACATGAGGCTCACAACAGCAGCCCTCCAAGCAGGCCCCAGCACTGCGCTGGGACAAGGGACTGGAAAGGGGCCAGCTGCCAGCCGCAGCAGGAAGAGACGTGTTTACAGGATGCCCGGGTCGCGGCACCAGAGCCAGGAGGCGTCAGAAAGGCTCACGGGGGCGGGGGGGACGAAGCCGGGGACGTAACCACCAAGCCCAGGCACGGGAAGGAGCCCGGCG